ATTTCTCTTCGAATTACGATGGTATTTCGAGAATACGAGTATCCGATCGTGATCGAAATAAAATCAGAAAAGAAATGTGAAAAAAATCGATGTAGAGAATGATGATGGGAGGAGGAGGAAGAGGGGGGGGTGAGAGGGCAGTTAAAAAATAAAGTAAAATGCGTCGATTCAATCGCATATCTTGGCACATAAGAGTTATGTTACACACAAATGGACACACACCACTAACCACACGCATACACACACACATCACACGTTACTACATCGCATTTAAACAACGCACATGCGCACACGTACGGAAATGTGGATATGAACGTGACGTATGGCAACCACGTTCGGATACGACGTTTTAATATAAATTAAAGTCGGCTTTAAACTCAGCACGCGCGCGCGCACGAGAGAGAGAAAGGGAGAGAGAGAGAGAGAGAGAGAGAGAGAGAGAGAGATATGTACAACGAAATAAAAGTGGCAAGTTTAAACGCAATTATCGGTCAGTGGCGAGAAATGCATGCTGTGCTGCATGCTGCCTTTTTCGTTGAAAAGTGGTGAGGGAGAGAGAGAGAGAGAGAGAGAGAGAGAGAGAGTGAGAGAGAGAGAAGTGAAAAGAGTGAGGGGGAAGTCTAAAGTTTGACATACGTTAACCTTCGGAGTTCTGTATTAAACATATGTATTTATCCATATTGAAATTTTTTTATATCAATATTATGCAGAATTGGTATGCACGATGGTATGGTGGTTAACTTTAATTAGAATTAATTAAAATATATTGATATATTAATTAGAATATATTAAAATATATTAATTAGAATTAATATATTTTGGTAAGTGTAAATTTTTTTAAAACGTTTCGATAGCGGACGTTCTAATAAAATCTACGAAAATGACGAAAATTGGGAGTCTCGCTGCTCGATTTTCTGAAAAAAAAAAAAAAATAAATAAATAAAAAAAATAAAAAAAATAGTCGATAAGTTAGCTTAGAAGTTTCATGATAATGCAACTTCTAAGCTAAGTATAATTTTAAGTATAATTTTATCTTTCTTTTTCTTCTTTCTTTCTTTCTACCTTTTCTTTTGTCCATTTTTCTTTTCTTTTTTTCGTTTCTTTTTAATTCTTTTTAATCGAAATAACAACCCCCGCGATACTTTCACGAAAAACTCTGGAAAAGTTACTTGTTTTTTTACTTCTTCCCTTTTTTTTTTTTTTGTTTTTTGCTTTTAGTATTTTACGATGAAGAATAATGAAATAATTTTCGTGCAATGATAAAAGTTTCTTTTTCATAGAATAATTTTAAAAAATCTATTATATATGTAAATTCACATCCAGACTTTCAAACCATTAATAATCATTTCAAACCAAATCATAACCATTTCGATCAATCATATACCGATGTATATTACATTTTTAAGAAAATTGAAATGATTTACAAGAAAATTAAAGTGATCATAGAACCCTAAGATCTAATTTTTGTCTATTTTATGTATATATATATATATATATATATATATATATATATATATATTTTCACCATTCGTAGATCTACTTTTCACGTGCATATGAATCGAAATAGGAGAAAACAAGAAATATGAACATTAGTCGATGATGTGGCACATTGCGAAGATACAAGATATCTGCTTGCAAAAATAACTAGAACGTGAGAAAGAGAGATAGCATATTCATTTCTCTCTCTCTCTCTCTCTCTCTCTCTCTCTCTCTCTTTCATACACATTACTATTCCTCAAGCTACCGTTGCAAAAGGTATCAGCATGTCGTGCTGGAGCGTTCTACCTTTCCTAAATCACAACGTGAACATGTATGTATGTATGTATTTACATGCACATATAGGGTGTTTTCTTTATCTCATAATGTTGGAATATCTCATGAGAGATTGAATCTATCAAAAATATGATTTTACAAATGTTGTTTCGTATCAAAGAGGGACATTACATCGAGGCTAAATTATTTCTTTTTTTATAGTTCGAATTGTGAGGAAAAATTTCAAAGTCGACTTTATTTTTTCTTCTAATGAAAACATGTATATGTATATATTAAGACGAATTCATAATATTTAAAATATTTAGAATACTTTACATGATACCTTTAGGCGAGAAAAAGAAAATTCATAAAAATTTGAGCTATTGAAGCCAAGTCAAATAATTATCGAATCATTTTGTTTATCAAATTAAACGATCTAAAATGTTCGCACACGCATTAACTCGTGTACACTCATGTTCGTGCAAGCGCGTAAACGCATTGATGGATTGTAATATTTGTCATGTCGAAACCATTATTATTTCGCGTTTAAATAATTTCTGAAAAGAAAGAAGAAAAGAGGATGAAAAAAAAAAAGTAATAGTTTGCACCATACGATGTTTCGGTCAAACAATATTTGTAAATAAAAATAATTTTTTTTATAAATTCACTCTCACGAAATATTTCAACATTGTGAGTTAAAAAAATCACCCTCTATATATGTATATATATATATATATATATATATATATATATATATATGTAGATATATATATACGTTTGATTCTAATATATACATGTGAGTAGTCATGTTTGTGTTCGTTCGCCGTCGCATGTGGAACTTGTCATTAATGATTCTCTCTCTCTCTCTCTCTTTCTGTTTCTCTCTTTCTATCTTCGTCCCTCCCTTTCTAATCCTGTAACTACGAGAGAAACCCTCTAATATGAACATATTCCGCCATTTTATACATTACTGATATTTGCCGACATGAACACGACCACCCCACTATCGTCGTTCCATGATCGTTCTTGTGATAAAATGTCCCATCAGAGAAATAATTAAATTCCTTCGCTCTTATTCGCGCTATCCATCTTCCTTTTTATTTTATATTTGTCTTTGTTCTTTCTATTTTCAAAATTTACTGATATTTTGCAGTGATATTGAAATAATTCTTTCTTGATGTTCCCAAGCATTCTTTTTGTTAATTATATAAAAAAATTAATATATATATATATATATATATATATATATATATATACATATACACATATACACATAGCTTTATCTATAAGTCAGTTGACAAAAATGTATTATTATTGTAAACAGATTCAATTTAAACTTTCATTCCTTAAATAGATAATATTAAATACGGTCTTACCCATAGATCTTATTTCCGTATTGAAAATTCATTGAAAATGAAGGAAGACATTTAATATATGTTAGAAATATTGGTTTAACTTTTTGTTCGTAATAATAATAGTAACAATAATAATAATAATAATTTTCTAATTTTTAATTATTATTATTATTTTTTTTCTTTTTTTTTCTATCAATTGACTTATGTACCATCCTATGTATTACAGTTGTTAAGGTTTGAAGATTTCAAACTTGTGTAGACTCCGATTAATTGCAATACTTAGTTTAATCCTTCTTTTCATTAATATAGATAGTTATACTGTTTAGGTTTATTTTTTTTCAATATTTCTATTGACATAAAATTTATTAACATTTGCAATAATAAATTTTATCGCATAAGAATGATGTAGCTTCTTTTATTAGTATGTTTAAAATTTTCATAAATTTTATTTGGAGTTGATTGGCAAACGTGTTACGATTTTCTTCGAGTAATAAAAGTTAGAATTAAAAAAATACAAAATAAGAAAAAAAAAACAAAATAAAGAAGGAGAGGGAGAGAGATGGAGAGATTGAATACGATAAGAATTTTATGTTGAACTGGATCGGGTTCGTTTGAATGAATTGATATCTACTACTCTCTGTCTCTTTTTATTTAATGAAAGCTATCGAACGTTTTCTATTGACATTTGCTTATCGATTCTCATTATTATCGGAATTACGGTATACCGCTGTTATGTATTAATGTTAATAACACAGCTTATACCGATCAGCCATTGGCGAATCGAGAAACGTTTCGGCGAAATGAGAAAACTTCAATAAAATACATTTTAAAGCTTACTTTCGTCATAAGCCCATAGATCTGGGTCATTGGTGAATTATTTAATAACAACGTATAAACGTGCTAAAACATCAATTTTTTATTTTTTTTTTTTTTTTGTAATTTCCTGTCTTTCAGCATGGTCAAACTTATCGTTCCTTTTAAAAGCTGAAGTAGTGTTTTTCTCTTTTTTTTATGTGAATATATTTTTTTTTAACGCAAATATATATATATATATATATATATTTAAAAGTTTAATTTATTTTATTATCATTTATTGATATTATAATAAATATTTTTTTTTATACAACTTAAAGAAAGATACTATAGAAAAATTATTATTAAATCAAGATCGTATAATACACTCATTGCATTGTAATTATTTATTTTTTTTTTTCTTTTTTTTTCATTTACTCTCTGTCCCAATTATGATTTATTTATAATAATTTTAATATCTCCTATACGTATGTTATATATAGTTTGCAAACAATTTTTTAATGAAATCGTCCTAACTAATTTGTTTCATTAACTAAATGAAATGTCATTGTGTCTGAGATGGCTCAAAATTTCTAGAGAAAAATACTATCGTCACGTTCAGCTGTGACCTTTCCTAATGTTAATTTTTAATTAATTAAATCGATCAAAGAAAAAAGAAAAAAAAAATAAATAAATAAAAATAAAAAGAAAAAATATTTCAACCAAATGATTTAACTATACGAATGTCTCGTAATTCGTTCGTTTGTTGGTAAAAGAAGTTATGTGATTAATAATAATAATAATAATAATAATAATAAAAAAGGAGAAAAAGTAAAAAAGAAAGAAAATAAACGAGATGATAAAAATAAATAAGATATTAGTATGAATTAATTACAATACGTGTGGATTCGATGAACGAAATAAAAACAATGTCTATTAAAAATCTATTTAGAAAGATAAAAAAAAAAAGAAAGAAAAGAAAAATAAAAGAAAAAACTTAGATACAACATTCGGCACGTAATCGTATAAATGCAAAGTGAAAAGTAAAGTGTGTATGCGTAGAAAAAGGACAACTCCACAAAAGTAAACTTTTCCATTTAGGAAAAACCAAGGTTGAAAAAGTTTGGTAGGATGGACGACGACAAAGGAGAAAGAGAAAGAGGAAGAATAAGAATAAAAATAAGAAGAGGAGGAAGAAGAAGAAAAAAAGAAAACGTGGCGAAAAGTATGTCGCTAGTGTTGTCAACGGATCTTTCCTTTTCACTTGAACACATTCTCGCTAGAACATTGAATAACACCAAAAGCTAAGGGGTGTGTGTGTGTGTGTGAGAGAGAGAGAGAGAGAGAGAATTTCGACTTCTCGAAGGCATCACGTCGCAACAACGTACTATCATCTGAACTTTCCATTAAAACTTCAAGTGTCTATTGTCCAGCAAACTTAAAACTCGACCGCAACATAAAAAACAAATAATTTTCAACGAATGTTTTTGTGTTATCATCATCTTTACGAATATATCATGATTCGTTCTTAAACACGATATAAAGAAATTTCAAAGTTGGAGTAGTTCTTTTTTATTTTTTTTTTCTTTTTTTTTTTCTTTTTTTTTTTTACTGTAAATATATTCTTCTTTACTTAAATATATATATATATATATATATATATATATATATATATATATATATATATTTCTTTTTCTATCAATACAATACATTGTTATCGATCAATGTTCAGAACTTTATACATGCATATATATATATATATATATATATATATATATATATATATATATTCTTATGTAGTTATATTTTATAGAAAATTTTTTTTCAGTAAAAATTTTTAGTAGATATTTTAAAACAAACTTTTTTTTTCTCTTCTTTCAAAAATCTTCAGTAAACGTTTTAAGTAAAATGTTTTTCTATATTCTTTTTTTAGTAAAAATTTTTTAATAAACAAACCTCAAGTAAAACTTTTTCTTATGTTTATTTTATAATAAAAATATTTAGACAAACATTTTAAATAACAGATTTCTTTATATTTTTTTTCGTAAACATTTTTATTAAATATTTTAAATATAGATAAAACATTTTCATACATTTTTTTAAAATAAATACTTGTATTAAAAATTTTTTTCAAGTAAAACATTTTGTCATATATATATGTATATATATATTTATTAATTATTTATTTTCATACTTAATGTAATATTTTTATAAGATATTTTTTTTTAATCCGAATTATAACAAAATAAAATCTTTAAAAAGCTCGATGTTGGAGATTCACAATTGTTTAATACACCTCACTTAACTCGATTCTCTGACGAGGAAAATATTAAATAAAGTCAATCAGGGTTGGTCCAAATACTGTCATAGGCCGTGAAGCGAGATCATCATTGTTCCCGATGATTTTATTAACGGGTCAAGGCCCTTACTCTTTTCAAAGTTTAGAGAGTGTTAAATACTAAACCGAGCCATTCGGTAAATTTTCGTCGTGTAATGAAGTTAAAGCTGACGTACGTACGTACTTTAATACTCTCTCAGATATTTTATCACGGAATTTTTAACGTCGAACTCCATTTTTTTTCCTTCGTATTTTCTTGTAACAACCTTGTTTCTCGATTGAACGTTAATTTTTATTCGTCGGAGAGAACTTTTTTATAAATTTTTTTTTTCTTTTCACGTCGACGTGATTTTTTTCTTCATTAATTAAACAACTTGTTTTTACAACGAACGACATCGTAATGTCAATTATAAAAAGATAATTTATTCATTAATGAAAAAAAAGATAAAGATTATATTTAATTGAACGAATCAATCATTCTTATTAATTATTGTATAACAGTTAAATCGTGTACCGATTGGTTCTAATCAGTCATTTTAATGATTAATTTCATTGATTTCCTTTTTCGTTATTCGATGTCAAGTGTCTTAGATCGAATTTTTTTTTTTTTTTTTTTTTTTTTTTTGAAAAAACTGTTGATTGGAATTGAAAATCAGATTATAAAGATCGAACATTGCATGCCAATTGTATAATGGTATGACAAAAGAATCGTGCCAGCTGTCGAGCTTATGACGCTTATATCTTCGTCATCGAACTGGTAATATCGTAATAGTCGATGATGGAACACTCGGCTCGGGTCAATTGAAAAAATAACGTAAAACCGCACTGACCGCGACGTGATTGTGCAAATCGTTAGGAAACTTTATAACGTAAATTAAAATCTGGAAAAATAATATCTAGTATTATATGAAAACTGGGGAAATTGCAATATATACAATATATAAAATACTATTGAATATATATATATATATATATATATGTACATAATATCGAACATATATATATATATATATATATATATATATATATATATGTGCGTAACGAATTTCACAATAAACGAATTTTTCAAACAATACAAACAATTGTTTAGAGTTTTAACTATCACGGCTATTATTTTTTATGTATTATTTCCAACTAAATAATTTCTATTATTTCTTATTCTCTTTTTACTTTTTTCTTTTTTCTTTATTTTTTTTTTCTTTCTTTCTTTCTTTCTTTCGAAACAAAATAATCGCAAAACACCGCCAACCGAGTTTTATCTTAATATGAACATTTTAAATTACAAAAAATGAACGAAGAAATGCAATTATCATCGCAATCTTTCTCATTTTGCGTACTACATTTCTTTTTCTTCTATTTTTACAACCAAGAAGATATTACGAACTTAGAAAAATATTTTAACTGTGCGAAAAGCGAAGCTTTTTTTTCAGTTTAATAATTCATCATCTGTCAGCAAACTGTCGTTCGAATTCTCTCTCTCTCTCTCTCTCTCTCTCTCTCTCTCTTCTTCTCTCCTTTTCTCTCTTTTCTTTTTTATCTTTATATAGTAGTATACCACATGAGACAAGAAAATATAGGAAAAATCAAGACAGCTAGGACTTATCCGTTTGCTGTCGAACCTTCGTTTCGCATTGGAGCCCTTTCAAAGTCGTTTCTCAACTTGGTATTTCGTACTTTGATCTGCGAAGAATAAAGTACTTTCTCTCTCTCTCTCCTCTCTCTCTTTCTCTCTCTTTCTCTCTCTTTCTGTGGGCCTGGTTTACCACGGCATCGAGTTCTTTATCGAATCAAGCGAAGCGAATTCGTGCACGTCATGGTGTGTCCTCTCTAACGTAAGGAGAGAGAAAAAAAAAGGATTCGTAATCTTGAACGTTGCGTTGAACGTTTTAAAAAAGGAAATCATCGTGTATCGAGTAAGAAAAAAAGAGATAAAATCTGTGTGTATGTGTGCGAGAGAGAGAGAGAGAGAGAGAGAGAGAGAGAGAGAGAGAGAGAGAAAAGAGAGACTATTTTTTAGTGCCATAGACATTATTTTTGCATTCGCTTTAAATTTCGGTTTCTGAATTTTCATCATGTTCACGAAAGTATAGTCGAATGATTCGTCGAATATTCTGTCTGTCTGCAAAAGAATTTTGGCAAGTCGCCTATACGCACCCACTCTCTCTCTCTCTCTCTCTCTCTCTCTCTCTCTCTCTCTCTTTCTCATTCACTCTTTTCTCATCTTGTTTGTATCCCTGCATGTTCCTCATCTAGAAGAGTTCACTTTAATATCAACCGCGAACTTTTTTCCTTAGGAGTCGATAAAAAAAGGAAGAGAGAGAAAGAGAGAAATAGAAGGAGAGAGAGAGAGAGAGATAAACTCTTTGAAAATATCTCATAACACGAAAAAATCAACTTGGCAGATATAAAAATGTCATAATCTTTGTCATTTCAATCCAACGAAAGTACTTACCTGCATATATGTGTACGTATCTGCAAGTGAGTAATTCGCTTATTCGCAGAGTTGGAATAGTTCTTTCTTTTTTACTTTTTTCTTTTTTTATTTTTTCTTATTTTTCTTATATTTTTATTTTTTTATTTTTTTATTTCTTTTTTTTTTTTCACGTATAAAGCCAGAGAAACCACGCCTCTCCTCTTGGTCGTCGACTAAGGACGAAGAAGTTTTGCAGTACGAAATTAATTTAAATTTTCTGTTCTTCTTTTTCTCCCTTCTTTCTTTCTTTCTTTCTTTCTTTCTTTCTTTCTTTCTTTCTTTCTTTCTTTCTTTTTTTTTCCATTTTTTGGTTCACATGGCTGGTAATTAATTTCATTTAAATTTAACGCGAGACTGGGCACTTTGTGAAAGTCGTTGTTACGTTCGCGGAAACGATGCACGAAAAAGATCGTATAGACGAACGAAGAAAGGAAAGGATCGAAGGAGAAGGAAAAGGAAAGGGGGAGAAAAAAATAAATGGAGAAAGAGAGAAAGAACATTTTTTTCTCTTCCGTTGATTCAAATTTATCCAATGCAATTTCTTTTCTTCTTCCTATAGTGAAGAATCACAGCGATCACATATCTTACCTTTTGATAAAATAAACTTGGTTTTAAACAATAAGAGAGAGAGAGAAAAAAAGAAAGATGGAGTGAAATAGAGAAGGGGAGAGAGACAGATAGAGAGAGAGAGAGAGAGAGAGAGAGAGAGAGAAAGAGAGAGAGAGAGAGAGAAAGAGAGAAAGAATGAAAAACGCGTTTGACCGAAGATGGAAGCCGTTTCCTTACGCACCTCGAACTCCAACTAAAAACAAACAACGGAACAAACGAACGAACGAATGAACGAACGAACGAACGCCTGGTTCTTTTTACTTTAACTTTTAAACGAACACACGATCCCTCAGTTTCCTTTCGAAACGAAATCAAAGATACTCTTCTCTCTCTCTCTCTCTCTCTCTCTCTCTCTCTCTCTCTCTCTTCCTGAAGATATAAGGTAGACGATAGCCGGACGGAAAACGTTAACCTTATAATTTCACCTTCTCCCCTCTCTCTCTCTCTCTCTCTCTCTCTCTCTCTCTTTCCGTTTTATTTTTTCTCATTGCTTCTTTGCCTTCCTTTTTTTTTCCTTTTTTCTTGAATGTTCCAAGTTTTTCTTATACACGTTGAACCTTAAGAGCATCGTTCAGAGGAGAATCCAGAAAGAAATAGAAGAGTAAAGCTGATCTCTGCAAAAAGAGAGCTTCTCTACTCTTTGCGAATAAGCAAAAAGGAGATGTCCGACCGAAAAGGTTTTCGCTTTTCAATGAAGAGGAAAGAGAGAGAGAGAGAGAGAGACGAAACCATTTATCAGTCTCTAGAATTT